TTTTGGACATCCTGATAATAATGAATTGCAGTAGTCCAGCCTGGAAGTAATAAATGCATGAACTAGTTTTTCAGCGTCACTCTGAGACAGGATATTTCGTATTTTAGAGATGTTGCGCAAATGGAAGAACGCTTTTAATGTTACAGGAGGAAATGGAGTGAACATTCAACTGTGTGTTAGACAAACCTGTGGCTAGCATGTCCCCAACGTAAGAGAAATATTAAACTGAAATTGCAGAGTGCATGGGAGCTGCTCTCAGGACACATCCGCTTTATGGTTGACTATCACACAGTAGAAGTGGATTACGAATATCGATATTATCAATACCAGTGCTGATATTTGTATCGGATCAATACTAGCACCAACTGAGCAATCTTTTCTTTTCAGTTTGTAGCCACTGAACTGTGTTAAATGTATTTCCTTTATTTGAGAGGAAAAAAAGAAACGACCTCAAACATGCACTGTGAAAAATGTCTGAACCTTTTTGTGCTGACTGTCATGTGTTTTGGATTTATAGCCTATGGCGCAATGAAACAAAAGAAGCTGACCCAGAGTGTTTTAGGGACAAGCACATTTAATTCAGTTCAATTCAGTTTTGTTTATACAGCACCAAATCACCCACAGAAAAACCCAACGATCATATGACCCCTATGACCAAGCACTGTGGTATATAGCACCAAATGACAACAGTCACCTCAAGGCGCTTTATACTGTAAGGTAAAGACGCATCAATAATAGAGAGAGAACCTTAACAATCACATGATACCCTATGAGCAAGCACTTTGGTGACAGTGAGAAGGAAACTCTCTTTTAACAAGAAGAAACCTCCGGCAGAACCAGGCTCAGTGAGGGACAGCCCCTTACATTTCAGGTCTCCAAGTTTCAGAATGCATGAAAAACTGAAAGGTGTGTTTTATTGTAGTAACTCATTATTGTGAAAAGGAAAAACCAAAGTGATTTAGTGATCGGTATCAGATCGGTGCCTATATTTGCAGTCAGTAGCGGTTTTTGATAC